TTGTAACATACTCAAGTGAAACCCAGATCCTAACAAAAAACAAAACAAAAAAAACGGCAGAAAACGTATTAAACACATGGGAGAGGAAAGCTCTCGGGAAAATATATGGATCAACAAAAGATGAATATGGAAGGAGAATACGTATAAAGAAGGAATTGTACAGTCTATTTCAGGATCCCACGATAGTAGCGGAATATTTTTTAAAAAAAAGGTAGGCTACGCAGCAGATGGGCAGGACATTTCGAGAGAATGCCAAATGACAGAGGAGTGAAGAGGGTGCATCACCCGATTGGGCAGGACATTCCGAGAGAATGCCAAATGACAGAGGAGTGAAGAGGGTGCATCACCAAAACGCCAGATGGAAAACGGCTTTTAAAGACAGACCTAAAGGCTTGGGTGGATGGATGATGTTTGAAAAAGATCTACAACAGCTGGGAATCCCAGCATGGCAAAGAAAGGCATTAGTCAGATCTAAGGGGAAGGAGGTAGTGAGGCAGGCCAAAGTCCTTCCATGGGGCTGTAGCGCCATAGTGGTGGATGTGTCTTCAGCATAGTGGTGGATGTGTCTTCAGCATAGTGGTGGATGTGTCTTCAAGGGATCAGTCGATGATTTATTATTTTATTTTAAGTGACCAGTTCAAATTTTTTCTTTAAAAAAAATAATCTTTTGTTAAAATGACTTAAATTATTAATTTTTTTTTTTCGACTTTTAGACCGCAAATTAAACTATTCCGAATCGAAGTATCATACTCCAACGTTGGACACATCGGGCTGCAGTGTCTCAAAAAAATCATTTCTTTTTTTTTTTAAAACCGTTTTCAGTGGAGTAGACTCCAAGAAAATATTAGCTACTATGGTAAAAGAAAACTAGGATGTTCGATCACATCGATCTCAGTAATCCCTGATTTGCAACCACTCATGGACACATATTGATTCAAATTAATAAAATTACAATTTTCCTCAGGGCTTTTCCTAGGCGTTGAATGTATACACTGGCGTTGGAAAGGGTGGGGAGAGGGCGGCCGGCCCCGGGTGCCCATTTTTTTCTTTAAATTGAGGGGCGGCAATGTGGTCAGTTGTAATGCAGAGTTTTTTCGTGGAATGATGCGGGAATATTTTTGGCCCCCTAGGCTAGCACCGCCAATGAGTGCATAATTTTATTACTGCCCGAGCTAGTAAATCTCTCACGTAAAAACAGAAATCCATTTTCAGATCTGAAGTCTGAAGAGAGATTCGTAAGTCGTGGATTACCGTAAAAAATGGCATTGCCCCTAAAATCACCGAAGTGACACACTTTGCACGTTAGGAAGAGAGAGTTTTTTGTTGTTTTTTTTAAAGAGAGATTCATTAGACACGAACAATTTGTGTCAGTATAACAAAATAAGTTAAGCTTTAATAATAATTTTACAGAATACACACGTTTATGTTTCGGCACATGCCTTTATCAGTACAACAACAACAACATTAAATAAGTATAAATTAAATTTACATAATATATATATCTATATACATAGATATATATATTACATACATACATATATCATACCTAAAAAAGGGGGAGAAAAAATTAGAGTGGGCGAAAAAAACAGACAGAAACAAGGTAAAGAAAAGAAGAGTGGAAAGGAAGTGGCTTGGAGTAAAATGTAAAAAAAACCAAACAGGAAAAAGACATGGTAGTTATGTAAAATTGTGGATTTGGTTTATCCCGTATGGAGTCAACGTACCAAATCTTGTTATCTTTTTTTTTTAAAGGCACATTAACAAAACACATGCTACTATTCATTTTAAGAAAAAAAAGTAATCAGCTATTCAACATGCCCCTGCTGCTGTTGCATTTGGTTATTTTCTACAACATATCGGAAATATACTTTTAAAGACAATTCTCGCCTCATTTTGCTATGTAGTCTTTTGTTTTCCCATGATCAACAAGGAAAACTTTCGCACTCTTGAACGTCTTCCTAGCAGTGTTAGTTCGTGCTACGTGTTCACTTCATGGCGTCTCGTTTTTCGTCCATTTCTCACATTTTGGACAATTTCAATAAATGTTATTTGGAAAATTCAATCCCCAACCCCCTTACTTGCACTTCAAATGGAGCTAATTGATCTTCAGTGCAATTCTAAGTTCAGGGAAAGAATGGAAAAATAGACAAGCATGGATAATTTATGAGAGCATTGCCCTCCACCTTCCCTGAGATTTCCAGGTTGTTCAAGCGGATTGTTACGCACTGGCTTCTATTGGGAGAAATTAATCTCCTATTTTAAATTGATGGCTCGTTCAAACAGTGCCTAACAAAGGACGATACCATAGAGAAATAACAAATAACAAAAATACGACACTCAAAACAGTACCAATTTAAATTAATAAGATTTAATTTAGTAATAATACTATTACAAAAAAAAAAATTTATATAATTACAAATCATCAACTTACAGAGTCTGGTAGATCTTGTACCGGTACACAGAGAATACAATGTGCCAATTAATAATATACAATGACGAAAGCGAATAAACACATAAGTACACAAAGCCTTCAAACCCCTAGTGCATGATTCCCTCACAAAGTGGACCTGGAAATCAGTGAAATTTCCCCATTAACACCAGGAACAGAAACATTGCAAATCCCAAGTACATGCATATGAACCAAAATGATCAATGAGTTGATCGTGGGCCCTTAAGATATAGAAGAAGAAGTTAAAATATATCTATCTGAATCTCCGTCTCTCCGTGCTGGTCAATCCTTTATATATGTTGGTCTACCAACGCGTTTAGAAACGCCCTTACTTTTCTAATACAATCGAGAACGTTCAATAAGCTACTAGTAGACATACTAACCATGTTTAATTGGTAGAACTGTAGTAAACACGATACTTAAAATACTAAGCCACGCCCAAAACAAACGCTACCGTCTGCTAGGGATCTAATTTGGGTCAAGCAAAGTTCAAGCATGGAAAATAGTGTACTACATCACACGGATCATGCGCCTTTTTTTTTAGTACTTATCTGTCTGCAAAGCTCTTTTCCGCTTTAGGCTTTAACAAGTCTAAGTTCAGGGCCAAACTTACTGATGAGCTTCTTCAAGCTATACTGAGGGTCTCAGTTGTCTCCTCACATGAGCCAAATGTTTCTCAGTTGTGTAAGAAGAAGCGCAACAAGGATTAGGAGGAAGAAAGCGAAGCCTAGTTCTTGAGAACCCTCAATATTTTTATTTGTTATTGATAAAGGTTGAGCAGATTGTAACAATTGTTCTTTATTGACTTTGTAATCGCTTTTTTGTGTGGAATACTTTATGCGGCCCAGTCTCACTCCAACCCAACCTCCTGCGGCCCCCGGATGATTTGATTTTGAGACCCTGTGTTAGAAATTCAACCAAAGACTGTTCTACCTCAAAAAACTGAACAATTTTGGCGTAAACAAGCAAGTCGTTAACTTATTCTACAGTGCAACTATTGGAAGCCTTCTTAATTTCAGTATTACCTTCTGGTGTGGGAATTCAATGTCTGATATTAAACACCGCATAAACCGACTAATCAAGAAAGCTAGAAACATAACACAAACTAAACATCCTTCACTTGAAGAACTATTTGAAGAAAGATGTTTTTGCCAAACTAAACACATTTTGGATGATACATCACACCCTCTTCATCCTAGATACTTAGGATCGGGCCGTTCGGGACGAATTCTTTCAACCAGGGCGAGGACTGACCGATATAAAAATTATTTTGTTCCCCAATCTGTACGAATTTACCGGCGTGCTTCCTCTGAAGTCACACATCTGAATGAGAACTAATAAGTCCCCGATTTTGCTAAGAGAACTCACTGAATGACAGTTTGAAATAATTTATTGTAAATGTCTTGTGGTCAAATTGTTTTATTTTTGTGTTGAAAATGTATAATGCAATCAAAAAACATTTCCATTTATTTGGATCAATAAAAGAATCTTATCTTATCTTATATAGGGTGATTAAACTACAATAAGAATTGCAGAGCTGCACGGTTTTCCAGTTTTATTCATACCGGTACAAGTCCAGCAGTTAAATACACCCAGTATGGTTGGATTTCAACACACACTCACACTCATACCCACACTCACACCCACACACAAAACGATAAGAAATAAGAAAATATATTCTTATAATAAAAATACAACATTTTTATTTAAATTCATCAATCCCTGTTCTTATTTTATTTCGCCTTTTTTGTTTTTTTGTTTTGTTTCTTTACGATAGGAGTTAAAAAAAAAACAACAAAAAACAAAAACAACCTTCGCTGTACAAAAAATGTATACAACATCTGTGAACTAATGATTAACAAAGAAAACTGTCATGGTGAAGGTTTTTTCAAAAAATGCAATGTAGATATAGACGTACTCATAGAAGGCTTAATTTCATTCATTTAACCTCAAGTAAAAACTCATAAACATCAATTTTCATCATACCTCCATCGACCAATCCATCCATCCCTTCATGCATCACCTCCACTCGAACATACATCGTCAAACTCATTTATCCGTCCAGCAAGCATGTTCCGTTCATAGCGAATCCCATTCATTATCCCAGCAACGCTCTTTTTAGTCCCAGGCCGAACATTTCCCACCGAAATCGTGAAAAGCGTCGTCTCCATACGGGAACGCGTTATGCAAATCACAAACAAAACATCAACCGTTCCGCTGAAATGTGAACTCAGGTGATCCAAGTGCTCTGCGAGGACGATTTCAGTTTCTTGCTGTCGGAGCGATACGTGCTGTTGGTGGCCGTGAGCAGACCCGAGAAGGAGAACACGGACTTGGATGCGTTCTTGCTCGCTTCATTCATTTCGCCCCACACCTCCGACTGGGCAGACACCTCCACGGGGGACATGTGTTCCAGAACTTTGTTGACCTGGCTGAACACGTCCTTTAGGGTGGGGCTCAAGATGATGGACGTCTCCTGGGAGAATCTCTTGTGGAGCCGCTGCCTGTGGAGGTTGCGGAGCTGCTCCCTCCATCGCCACGGGGGCGTCGTGATCATGTTCTTGTAGACGGTCCTGTTCTCCTTCCGGTACAAGCCGTTGATCAGGGCGTTGACCAGAGAGTTCCCGAAGAATAGGAGCTGAGTCGCCACTTTGAGGATTTCGATTTTTTTCTGAGAGAACGTGCGGAAATATTTGAAAGGCGCCACGAGAGCGTACGGGAGCCAGAGCAGGATGAAGACAAGCATCAGGAAAGTCGATACTCGCACGGAGCTGACCCTGTGCTCCATCCACTCATGCATCGAGGGTGAGCTGACGCTCCGCTTCCGCAGCGTCTTCACCTGCCGGTAGGACGCCATCAGGATCTGCGCGTACAGCACGCAGCAGACGGCGATGATGAAGAATATGCTGCCGAAGGACGCCACGACGACGTACTCCGTGTATAGGGTGGTGTAGTAATGGCATCGCGCGTTTAACGGCATGACGCTGTAGTCGTACTTGTTGAGCCCCATCATGGGGAGGAACGCTACAAAAACTATGAGGAGCCACGCCACCACGATCACTCTGATGGTGCGCTGCTCGGTGACGATGGTGGGGTACTTCAGCGGGCACAGAATAGCGATGTAGCGGTCGACGGAGATGAGAAGCAACGAAATAAGCGATCCAGCCCCGGCCAGCTCTATCGACGAAAACCAGGCCAGGCAGAAGTATTTATTCCCCAAGACCACCTCTCTCGTCGACTGAAGGTAGCTCAAAGCGTACATGGGTATACAGTAGGCCCCCATCAGGAAGTCCGCGAGGCACAGGCTCAAGAGGAGGATGTTGTTGGGGTCGTGGAATCCGGGGTAGAAAGCGATTCCGCTGAAGACGAGGGTGTTGCAGAAGATAATCACCGGCATGTAGCAGAGGGAGACCCCCACGAAAATGTCGTGGGCCAGGATGATGTCGGGATCGTCCAGTCGGAAGGTGGTGGAGTTCTCCAGGGTGATGAAACCTTTGTTGTAGAAATCAATGTCGAGCATCTCAAACATGTTGAACAGCAGGGCCCCGTCGTCGTGTCCTAACAGCTTTAAGGTAGAGGTGACGTGGAGCTCCGGCCGTGGGGCGTTCATAACAGTGTTAAGGTAGAGGTGAGGTGGAGCTCCGGCCGTGGGGCGTTCATAACAGTGTTAAGTTTGAGATGAGGTTGAGCTCCGGCCGTGGGGGCATTCATATATTCATGAAAGAGTTTACTTTTGAAAACGCGTTGGTTCGAGAGTCGTTCAAACCTGGTTGAGGTTTCATGATGTGACTATGGAATGAAAGGGGAAGAAATAAATTTAATAAGGCTAATGATCAATTGAGAAATCAATTTGTTCAATGAATAGTGCACAATGGCTGTCGATATTTTGGTAGGAATAAAATTAAGTTGAACCAAAAGAAATTCTAGTCATTCTGCTTAAAAGCTCATTGCCAAAAAAAAAAAAAAAAAAAAACCCCAAAAAACAACTCCTGGTAGCATTTGCCATCAACTTACAAAGGTATTACAATGGTATAGTCATTGATCGATTCAGTTTAGTTAGTTATAACATGATGCCCTGGTTCGAATCAGCTGTTACGATTCATTTTACAAAATATGCCAATCAAAATCTCCCTTGAAAATGCTTTGGTCAACTTGGAAGACATATTGATCTAAAGACTATGCAATATTGGACGTTGGTTTTGCTGTAAACAATCTACTGTGATGTTAAAATGAGACTTTTGATTTGCTACAAACAACCTACTGTAATGTTAAAATGAGACTTTTGTATTGCTATAAACAACCTACTGTAAGTTTTAAATGAGTTGCATTCTACTAAAGCTCAAATCATTTAACAAATCAAAAGGACATTTTTTCTGCTTCACTGCACTGAGTGCACTCTCCCTGATTGAAACAGTACCTTATCAAAAATATATATCATACTGTTACTGCATTACTTATAAGTTATACTTATTTGAGATTGATTGTGGTCTTTTGATATTGTTTAACTCACCTATGACGACATGCGATCATCGTAGAAAGATTTTGTAAAGAGCTGGATTTTTTAAAATAAACTTCTAGCTAGAAGCCAACATTAGGTCCGCTCTTAAATTCTGTAGTTTTCAATGGTATTTAACAAAACAATATATTTTTTAAAAAACAACAACAACAATAGTGTAGCAGCAGAACAATTCATTAAATTGAAAGGATACTGACAGTGCACCATTTGTCTATTAAATGCACTAATGAACGTGTGTTTTGTTTTCGCACCATGAACACAACTACCTCGGGTCAAAACATGGAAACTCTTGTCACAGATTTTTTTTTTAAAGCTTTCACTAGGATTGTTAGAACTTGGAAACATTGCATTCCCGACCTTAGTAATATATATATATATATATATATATATATTNTGTCTGAATGCCATGACCTCACAGAATATTACAACAATGTCTGAATGCAACGACCTCACAGAATATTATAAAAAATGTCTGAATGCCATGACCTCACAGAATATTACAACAATGTCTGAATGCAACTATTTACCATCTAAGCCCAAGCCAAGCTTTTCTTCTCACACTAACAATCACCATTTATGTTGTATTCCCAAACCACGAGGTACATCTCTTCTCCAAGCGTTTCCTGCCTCCTGATTCCTGCAATTAATGACAACAAATCTCGAGGGTGGCTCACTTTGAGAAGGAAGAACACTCCCCCCCCCCCCCCCCCCACACCCACCATGCCTCCTCCCACGAGAAAAAAAAACCCTTTACATTGGGCGGAATATACCGCCGCTAAATATACGGGAAGGAAATACCACCCGGGGGGCAGACCACCCCGTTCCACCCCCACCCCCACTTTCCCACGCCACTGAATTTAGGTTGTGGCGATGGTGGTTTGGGTTTGTCGCTACGCAAGATAAGATGAGATAATATGATAGATAAGAAAGATACGACTGAATTATTCATAAAAAAATAATAAAAAAAAAAAAAACTTGCCCATTTTAATTTTCAGCATTTTTTTGGGTAAAAACTAAGGTTATAGACAATTTTGACTAAGATACTAAAATGGCCACTGGGTCTGAATGGTGAACTAAGTAGATATTTTCATGAAATTTTCTCACCAAAACAAACAACAACCCCCAGACATTTATCGTCATCAAAGCTGTCTTTCATCGTAGATTTTCAATGTTCTTAATAGACTGGGAAGCCGATTTTTTTTTTAAAAAAGGAGTTTTTTTAGAGAATCTATTTTATATCTCATTTTTTTAAAAGGATTTATTGACAGCTGTACATTGTACATGTTGATAGCGAACATGGCTGTACCAATATGCTTTATTGACACATAAACTTATCGAGGGCTTCTGTCAATGTCAGTCTGTCACTATGTCACGATGATACGCCACCCATCCACAAACCAAGTCATATTATGGCTTGGCGATTAGAGACCGACCGAAAGTGATTTTCTGATTTCGGCCGAAGCCGAAAATAGGCCGAAAGTTTAAAATGACTTACGGCCGAAACCGAAAAAAGGCCGAAATTTTAAAAATGACTTTCGGCCGAAACCGAAAAAAGGCCGAAGATTAAAAATGAATTTCGGCCGAAACCGAAGCCGAAACCGAAAATGAAATATTAAGATATTTTGAAATTCGTTCCCGCATACATTCTGCATACATCGAAAATGATGTGGGAAAGTATAAATATTTACATTCTTTTATAA